TCCTTTAGATTCTGCAGTAAGCATGAAATGCAAAGTATTAATCATGTGTTTATGCTTGATTTCTACATGTTAAACAGTTAAATCCATTCTTAATTTTGTCTTTGTCATCTTCAAAGCAGAAAATTATACCATTAGCCCAAACCTCTGGCATTCTGTTGATTTTGTCTGGAAGGTGTAAATCTAGTAAGCATGAACAATGAGCTTTTGCCAAACTGATGGAGGTATTTGTCTATGTAGATTGTATTTCTACAGCTGTCAATTGAGATGGTTGTTCTCTACGTGAAGTGGTTCTAGGTCACCCACATACTTGGAATTTTAAACTTTGATGTTTTAGCACTTACTACTTGGAGTTTTAGAGCTTAATGTGTGCCATTCTAAAGGGTGGTATTTCAGCTTTTGTATTTCTTGGGATAACATGTTGTGAATGAAAATTAGTATTTTCAGTAGAGCTCCTGGGAAAGTTGTTGCCAGCAATAATTTTGACATCCCATGTGCTCTATTACAAAAAGACAGTAGAATAAATAAATGGAGCTAAGTGGTCAGAATTCTGGTGGTATGAAAGCAAGTATAATTTCATTTATTATGATGGAATGCAAACAAAAGCTCTGCACAAACAGTTTTAATCGATGTTTAAAGACTAGTTTCTCAGACTGTTGCTTGTTTGACAAGATAGTCTTGGGTGAAGCGGAAACAAAGTGGGAAGACAAATAATTACTGTGGAGATAACAGACATTACAGGGCAAGTAGAATAAAAAGTTATTTCAAACATCTATCAAGCCAGTTTGACTCATAGTCTCTCAGCTCTAGATTATTTTACACTGGATTATTTCAGACACATGAACTGAAGAAACGTAAGAATGTCAAAGAACAGTGCTGGCACATCATATGTTAGCAGTTTTCTTTTTAAGATTATTGAATAGAATTTCATTTGCCTCAAAAACTGTCAATCCTGAGAAAAGCCATCTGATCCAGAGACCCAAATATATGGAAATGTGCTGCCATTTTAATATTCCCTAGCCCGCCCTCACCATGATTCACATTATTAATTGATCATGCTGCTCTTTTCTACTGAGTATAGATTGTGCCTCAGAATTTTTCTCAAATTAGAGTAGTTTCTGCTAATGAACAAATCAGAATTGTTTGAAACCTGTTTGCAATTACCGATTGATTCTGCATTTTCTGGTGGAAGGAGATAAATAAGACCATTAAAGATGTCATGCCCAAATCACCAAGCTATATAGCAACCAAAGTAGAATTAACATATAGGTCACATGGCTCTCTGTATATAATTTTGTTCTAGAAGGGCACATTATAGTTTTGTCTTGCGTTATTGATATTATGTTGCATTCCATTTAGGAATTTCTAGTAGGGTATGATTATTTGTAGTATATGATAATTTTATTTTTCATGATTTTGATCCACAATTTGATATGATCTATTTTTGTACTTTCTTTTTATTTTTAATTTTTAAATAATCTTATTCTAAAGAAAATACATATGTAGAGGTTCATTTAAGATTATTTTAGAAAAAAAAGGTAGTGTAACATTTCATCTGTATTTTGAGAAAAACAAAATAATATGCCATTGGCAATTGTCACAATTTTTTTTTATTTATGCTAATTATGTCAAAAAAAGAGCTTCCTACATTATATTTAGATATTTTAGGCTTAACTGTAAATATTTATGCCTATAGAAACTTGACTATTTTAATTAAAACATTTAAAGCTGGGTTTAAATGAAAGAAAAAATCCACATAAGCTTTTAAATTTAAGCATTTGTTTAGTGTATTGGATAAATTTTCCATATTTACCTCTATGAGATTAGCTTCAGATTACCTTTTTCTTATTTTACATTCAGTGTTGTTTTCATTGTATCAATAGTGAAATTTGTCTCATTGAGTTAAGTTACTTTGGGCAGAGGGAGGGAAAACAATACCCATATTCACTAACTTGCAATGGCTTGTTTTAATTTTTGCATTGAATCAATTTTTGAGACAATTACTTTAACTTGATTTTATCCTTCTGGTAATTACAGGGGCATTTTATTTCAGAGAATATGAATTCAAAATTGTTGGTTAATAAGCATGCTCAGAGAAGAGATTTTAAAATCTCATTTCAGAAGCCGTGGCATTATGCTCAGAAATTTCCGGTTTTATTTCTTTCTTTGCTCCTCTGCCTTTGTCTGTTAAACTCTGGGAATAACACAAAGCATGTTCATTATTTCTCTAGCAAGAAATTTACATAGGGACATAAATATATTTCATACATTCTTAATCACTAAGCACCTAGAATAAACTTCAAAATTTTAAAAATACTCTTATGCATAAAAATCCAAAGTTTTCCCTTTTCATACACTTCAGTAAATAAGTATCTTTTACATAAAAAAGAATTGGCTAAAACCACCAATTATATCATATTTATAAATATATTAAGAATTTATTAGATGTAGACTGAACTGATGTTAAACTTATACCTTGTCTTCAGGGAACTTAAAATCTGATCTGGAAATATCTCAATTTATTAGAAATAATTAAGTAGAAATTAAATGAAAATTAATTATAGATACACAGAAGTCATTTTCACTACCATAAAATTAAAGACATATTAATTCATTTGACCAATAATCACTTATTGTTGTGCTTTGTGGAAACAAAGTAATATTTGAAGTTACAATAAACTTCACTCTTTTTTACTCTTATTGCCTATTTTTGTCATTTTTACAAAAAAAATTACCTTGACTGTTAGTTAGCTAATATAGTCAAATTTTTAAAAAATGTAGAGAATAGAAATTGATAAAATAGATTTATATTTGATGGTTTCTTTGAACAAATTATTGTTAGGATTCTAATTATTGAAACAGCTCTAAATATGATTGGGCATCTTAGATAAAGATTTTGTTGCATCAGTGGTAATGAACATGAAATTTCTTAAGTGATTGTGTACCATGTGGATGGAATGCCATGATTAAAAAAAATAGTTCTATGGAAATTTTAAAATTTACAGATAGGCTTATCTAGACATGAACATACATTTGACATAAACTGACTTGATAGTTGGCCAGGACTGGAATTCTAGTTCCCACACCTATTCCCACTCATCCACCCACATCCATTGGACAAGTGCCTGGTTAAACAGATGGGTCTTGGGCTGTGCTCTCAACTCAGAGAAACTCCACCTTTATTAAAGAAAACATAGGATGAAAATAGACTATATTGTGTTATTGTGCTTCTGGGCGTGATACTTTGAGTGAAGAGCTACTACGTATTTTTGTTTGTTACTGAAAATATGTTTTTTCTTATGAATGAATATGTGAATATTGGAAGGCAACAGATGGAGCCTCGGGGATCTGGAAAACCCATAGTTAGGGAAGTAGTTATCCATCAAATATGAAAATAAAAAATCAGCAGGTGTGTGAAATACCATGTGGTTTTATAAATGCATGTAGCTATGATTTTAGAAAATGTTTGGATTAGCCTTGATTATGAGACATGCCTTGATTATGAAATTTCCTTCATCCACCAAAGGGTCTGAAACAAATCGGAATTCTCAATATCTGCCAATGAGCTGCTTCAGCAGACTAGCACTTCAGCAGTTACAAAGCCAGATTTGCAACAGGATGTCAAATTCTGGCTAATGTTTGTGTAAATACTACACACTTTCATTGTGAAGGCAGAGGGATTTGGAGACCTGGGTGATAGGATGGCACATGATTTTATGACATCAGAAGTGAATTTTTCTGATTAATGGCAGTGCTACTGTCCTTGTTGGAGACAAAAACACTAAGGGGAAGGAACGAGCAGCAACTAGACAACCCTGTACTTGGAAGACCATAGGAGATAAATTCATATGTTCTAATATTGACATATTAAAAAGATCTTCAAGGGCATTTGCCCTCCATGCATTTTTATGATATTCTCTTTAGTGTTATAATAGTCAGCAAGCCATCACATAGTTAACCTCATGGAGCTATGAACATGGGCATTTGTTCTTCACATGATCCAGTATCTATTTATTGGATCATTAACGTGGATATTTACTCCTCCTCAATTATGGCCATGCATGGTCTGTGGAAAGCACACGAAAATTTAAGTAAAAGACTTTCACTCCTCTTTCCTAAATGATTTATTTAATCTTTTGTTAACTCAGTTTTCTCCACAAAAAGGGGATGGTGATTGCAACCTACTTTCCTAATAATAATGCAGGACTTTTTTTTTTCTAATTGCATGAAATAATGCCTGTGATACACAAGAATTCCGTGGAATAAAGCATACATAGTACAATTTGTATTGAAGTACGTTTTCTGGTTATAATGTTTAGGCATAATGTTGTCTAATACTGCAGTAAAAACTTGCAATGAAACTTGCCAAAAATTTAACTCTTAAATGAAATCCAAATGGAATTTTTCTTTTGCTTATTTGGCATATATAAATATGCGGAATGAATGAATGTATAAATGGGTGAGAAATTGAACAAAATTTTTAATATTCATTTTCTCCAGGTAAAAAAAAATATACAAAAAGTAATGAACGTGTTACTATTTAACTTTATTTCTTACTGAAGAATGCCTTGAGATTCGTTTGATTGTGTTAAATTAATGTAAAATATCATTACACTTTCTTGTTACATTGTCCTTTGAAACCACTGAAATTGCCTAAATAATGTTGTACTATCTCTACTTGATAAAATGGAAAACTCAGAAGATTAATTTAGATACAGATGAAGAATAAAAGTATCTCAGTGTGTACTTAATTTTATTAGAAGGAAGTGCATTATAAAAATAGCCCTTTGAAGATGAAAAAGAGGCAAAATAGTGAAATATTTTAATTCTTAGTTTTACTGTCTTTATATGAAAGTACATATTTTGTGTTTATGTATTTTTCTAAGACACATGACAATGACTAGCTTTTTCTTGAACTAGTGTGGCATATGATATTTTGTATATAAGTACATACATATTATATTTATATCTATTTTAAATGTATTTTGTTTTGTTTTAAACAGCAAATGCCAGTCTTCTTGGAGGAGGTGGTGGTAAGTCCTGACTATCATTTAATTTAAAATATCTTTTTATTATACCAATGATAAGATGTTTAGTAAGTTCTGTGATATTTTAAAGAAAGTTAATTTTGCTGTAATTGTCAACTACAAAGATAGTACTATTACAGAAAATAGTTCATTATAGAAATAGCTTCAGTTGGCCTTAACATTATTTGAACTAACTTAAAATGTGAGGGAGACAATTTTTCTTCTTGTTAAACTTTGTAATTCTACCTTTGGCATGCAGTATAAAAGCTATAGTCTATTGACATGAACACATTCATAGTAGATGACAGAGTCACTTCTAATATGTATTCTAAAACAATGGTAAATTTGGAGACTTGTTTCTTTTTTCATCATATTGACTTTCTTTTGCTTTTCATGACTTTGTTTCTGAGAGCTTAATATATCATCTAATTACTTTGAAAAATAAAAAAAAGCTTTATTTTCATGCTTATTTAGAGGAAAAAGAGAAAGTGATAAAAGTGAGAGGAGGAAGGGATTCTTGTCCTGGGAATTTTTTGATACAAAAATTTTATAAGTAATTGTATTTTCATTTCTAGGTTAGGAATATGAAGGTTTTCATAGCTCCAATACATAAATTTATATAATTTTATCCCCTACTATGTCATATATATATTTACATATATATATATATATGTAACAATATAAATATATAAAAAAAATAATATAAAATTATATTTTAAAAATTGGGTCCTTTTCATATATAAATAGTTTTCATATATAAATAGTTTGGACCTCTCTCTCCCTCTCCCTCCCCCTCTCTCTCTCTCTCTCTCTCTCTCTCTCTCTCTCTCTCTCTCTCCCTGTTTTGCTCTTGCTTTCTCTGTTCATGTTCAGGGTTGAACCTGAATTCAGTGGTACCTACCACTGAAAAACTTTCAAAAAAATTCTGGCCTTAAACAGAAAGCTTCAATGTAATTTTTATTGGAGGATTAAAATTTAATTATTTCTCCTATGTAAAATCAATAGATTTTTTAAAAGGTATGAAGACAAATAACAGCAAGTGTTGGTGAGGATGCAGGTAAAAAGGTACATTTATTCACTGCTGGTGGGACTGCAAATTAGTGCAGCCAATATGGAAAGCARTATGGATTCCTTGGAAATCTGGGACTAGAACCACCATTTGACCCAGCTATTCCTCTTCTTGGACTATACCCAAAGGACCTAAAAACAGTGTACTACAGGGAAACAGCCACATCAATGTTTATAGCAGCACAATTCACAATAGCTAAACTGTGGAGCTAACCTAGATGTCCTTCAGTGGATGAATGGATAAAAAAAATGTGGCATTTATACGCAATGGAATATTATACAGCACAAAAAAATAATAAGAACATGGCATTTGCAAGGAAATGGATGGCAGTAGAGAAGATTATGCTAAGTGAAGTTAGCTAATCCCAAAAAAACAAATGCCAAATGTCTTCTCTGATATAAGGGTGTTGACTCAAAATGGGGTTGAGAGGGAGAGCAAGGGAGGAAGATTACCTCTAGATAAGGAATAGGGGTGGGAGGAAAAAGGAGGGAGAATAGGAATAGCAAGGATAGTGGAAGGTGATGGTCATCATTATACAAAATTCATGTATGAAGATGTGGATTTGGTGTCAACATACCTTATATACAAACAGAGATTTGATAAATTGTGGTATAAAGGTGTATTAAGAATTGCAATGCAAAAAAATATGAATGTAATGCACTCCTCTATTGTGATGTATGTAAGAATTAATTAATTAATTAAAAAATAAAAAGTAATAATAGAAAATAGTTTAAACTATGATTAAAGTGTCTTCATATTATCACATATCTGTGTATGTTCTATAGTAAAGTATTATGAAAAGAATATGGGATTTAAAGTTAGAATTTTTATGTGAAGATGATAAAAGTTAACTTAGTATCCATGAGCCTGTACTTTAAAAAATGAGAGCAATACTAACTACCTAAAATGCCTATTATGGAGATTAAGCAAACCTTTCTGGTATGTAGTAGAATAAGTAAGGGATTAGTAAATGTATTTCTTTTCTTCTACCCGGAATTATTTTACAATATATAAATCTACAGGATTTTCCATATATATCTTATTTTATTCTTGGGGAATTAAAAAGAAAAATTTTCCTTAGGAGTTAGATTCCCAGTAATTTTTTCCTTTTAAATCATAATATATGAAGAAAACATTACTAAAATAAATTGCCCATAGTGATAATTTTCTTATAAGACATATTAATATTTTATGAAACCTGAATAACACTCTTACTGGCATAAAGAAAGTTGAAATTGAGTCTACATAAATATATTAATCAAGTTATAACAGCAGACAAATTAGCAACACATTTCATTCATTATTTTTGACTATTTCCAAAAAATGACTTTATATATTACTTAAAACTACATTAGCTTCTCATAATGGAAACAAAACCCAAAATATTGTAGCTTGAAGAAGACAGAAATATATTTTTAAATATTTGTAAAAGTATGGCAGACATAGACTAGACTGGTTCTGCCGTAATTTCGTGGCATCATCAAGGACTCAAGCTCTTTTCTGCTCTTCCCTCCTAGTAGGTAGCTTCCATACTTCAGGGTTCATGAAGGCTGCTGGCACTCTAGCCATCATAAATATAGTTCAGGTTAGGAAGAGCAGAAAATGCAAAATATAGTAAAGTGTGCTACCAAAGGTGAGTCAGTTTCTTTAAGCAGATTTCCCTGAAATTTCATAGTCATCCCTGCAATGTAGTTTTTTACTCTAAGAAAGATCCTCATGAAAAAAAAGATATTCTTCACAGAATTAGAAAAATAACTAAAACAAATAATTATTAAATTCATTTGGAAAAATAAGAGCCCCAGAATAGCCAAAGCAATACTAAGTAAGATAAGTGAATTAGGTGGCATCACAATACATGATCTGAAATTATACTATAGAGCTTTAGTAATAAAAACAGCATGTACTGGAATCAAAATTGACATGAAGATCAATAGAATGGAATAGAAGACACAGAGGCAAATCCATAAACCTATAGCTGTCTAATATTTGGTAAAGATACTAAAATAAATCTTAGAGAAGAGACAGCCTTTTTAACTACTGGTGCTGGGAACATTGGATAGCTATCTGTAGAAAAATGAAATTAGACCCCTATCTCTCACCTGCACAAAACTCAAATTGAAATGGATCAAAGACTTAGGAATTATACTAGAAACTTTACAACCGCTGGAAGAAAACATAGGGTCAACACTCCATCATGTAGGTGCTAACACCGACTTCCTTAACAAGACCCCCAAAGTGCAAGAAATGAAACCAAGAATCAATAAGTGAAATGTCTTTAAACTGAACAGCTTCTGCACAGCAAAGGAAATAATTAAGAGCGTGATGCTGAGAGAGCCTACAGAACAGGGGAAAATCTTGGCCAGGTACCCCTCCCTCTAATAGGGGATTAATATCCAGAAATATACAAAGAACTCAAAAAACTTAATACCATTACTACCACCATAACAACAGATAACCAATTAATAAATGGGCAAAAAAATTAAACAGAAATTTCTCAAAAGAAGAAACACAGAAGGCCAACAAATACATGAAAATATGTTCAACATCCCAGTCGACCAGGGAGATACAAGTCAAAACTACACTAAGATTAATCTCAATCCAGTCAGAATGGCAATGATCAAGAATAAAAAACAACAATACATGCTAGTGAGGTTGTGGCGAGAAAGGAACACTTGTACCTTGTTGGTGGGACTGTAGGCTAGAACAACCACTCTGGAAAGCACTATAGAGATTCATCAAAAAACTAGGGATGGAACCACTATATGACCCTTTTATCCCACTCCTGGGTATTTCCCCCAAAGATCTAAAATCTGCCCTATAACAACACAGCCACATCAATATTTATAGCAGCACAAGTCACAATAGCTAAATTATAGAGTCAACCCAGATGCCCATCAATAAATGAATGGATTAAGAAATTGTGACACATATACATATACAAAATGGATTAATAAATTGTGGTATATATGATGGAGTTCTACTTGGCCATTAAAAAGGATGAAAATATGGCATTTGCTAGTAAATGGATGGAAATGGAAATATCATGCTAGGTGAAATGAGCCAAACTCAGAAACTCAAAGGTTGAATTTTTTCTCTCATGTGAAAGCCAGAGTAAAAAAAAAAAAAAAAAAAGGAAAGGTGGAGGGAACGATAATATTACATAAAGAACCAATATACAAATTAATAGATGAGCAAAAGGAAGTCTAGTAGAGTAGAGGAGAGACAATGGAAGGGGGAGTATGCGAGGGAAAAGGGGTAAGGTAAAGGGTGATCAGGAACTGAAACTGATTTTCATGCATGTATGAGTTTAAGAAGGTAAATACACAGTGCTCTCTTTGCCACAGCATTGTTATTTATTATAAGTAGGATTATTTTAGTGATTGAGGACTTAAGGATATTTTGGTATTCTTTAAGATAACACAGCTTATGAAGGGCAGTGTTTGAATGAGAAGACAGTTTTCCTGACTCCCACTCCAGGGCTCTTTGTCTTTGCTCTGTGAATTTTAATATATCTCTGCTCTTCAGTCTTACCTTTTCCATAGAAAGTCAGGGAACTCTGTTGACTCAAGGAAAAATGAATGAGAGGACCAGAAAACATGCAGTTGAGATGTGGTGGTGCTTTCCTTTGTTCTATTTTTACAAGTCTCATTTCTATTGATAATTTGAAAGTACATGCAATGGCATGGTCTTTGGCACATTTGGATTGCTGTCCAGATTCATATACCTTTTTGTGTGTATTTGAGGTTTAGTTTTAGAAAACATTGCATTTTAAATGCATGTTCACGATCTATAATAAGGATGTTTTACATGCACGATGTCCTGTGAAGATTGTACTTTTTTGAATATATAATAAAGAAATCATTCTAGAAATCCCTAAATTATATAAAGAAGCAAATTAGGGGAAAAATATTTAAAGAGGGAATTCCTCAATTCCTTT